ATCATCTAATTTCTATTTAATTTTAATTTCTACAAATAAATTCTAATTTCTCAGAAAAACTCCTGTTAGAAACCTAGTTTCAAGTTTTTTGCAGATCCATGAAAGGTTGTACTGGTAAAGACTATCTGTTATGGAAGCTGGGACCACAACTGTCATCCACAGGATATTGGCACAAGGAAAAACTGTAACTGATCTGTTACAATCATCATGCCCTCTCCATTGCTCCATTTTGGCCACACACTCTTCCCGCACCCTATGCCCCCCTGTGGCCACACTCCCTCACCCAACCCATGTCCCTCGAGTTAAACTCCCACAGCCCCTTGAGACTGCACTCCTACTTCTCTCTCTCATAAGTCCCCTATGACTAAGGGGTCATAGGGGACTTTGCTACCTTGTCCACTTATGCCCCTTGCAGTCACACACCTCCCTACTTTTCTTTCAACTTTATTTTGTAACCAATGTATCAACTTTGGCTCAAGTATTTATTTTAGACAATTTCTATGACAGTATCATGAAACAAAATTCAGCATTGTTAGGTATGAGTAATTGGACTGTTAATAAATAATAAGTTTTGGTTCAAATTTGACACCAGGAACCCTACAAGATCCTGGGGTTCTGGATCTGGGATACTCATAGCTTCAAGATTTCCCTAGAAAAGATCTCCTTGGCAAATGGTGGGGACCTTTGACAAGCCACCGACTTTCTGTCCTCATCGAGGCCACTAGGGTTAGTGGCCCTCAGGTAAATCAGGTAACCCAAGTTTTATTGTAAAAATAAAAACAATAGAACTCTTAATATCCAGTAGTGAAATGTTTCAGTTATTGTGCTATTCAAAAACACAAATATTATAGCCTATCTGGAACCATATACAGTATGGTATACAAGCAGTTCCACAGCAAGGGAAAACATAAAAGACCCTTCGAGTGATGTCCTAAAACTTTATATTTAAAGAGCATAATATGCCAAAGTAATTGCTCGAACTACTGGATAGCCTAACGAGAATCTTTATAAACAATAAATGCCAAGATGATGATACAGAATACTTTTCAATATATATATACAGTACTGTACTTGTACAGTATTCTCTAAGGTACTAAAAACTTTTAGGCAATTGCCCAAATCCTAAAAATAAAATACCTAAATTATTGGAAATGCTTAAAAACAGTAAAACTGTATTCCCTGGAATACAAGAGATGTATCATATTCCAAATCAGGAAAATATACTGTAGAAGGGATTAGTTCTAATCTGCAAACATTCCCTCTAAATAGAATAATGGAAATTACCAACACACCACTAATTGTGTCCTAGATGGAACTTAAAACACACCTACATAGGGGTACCTGACAAACTGATTACTGGTTGTAATGCCTATGCCAGACTGCAAGCTTCTAGTAACAACAGCCTTGCTGATCAAAGGGGCAACCAGAAGGCCTGGGCAGAGATTGGGCCACATGGACAGTGACCATGTGGTCACTGTGGACCTCTAGTACTATGTGGACCCTTAGTACCCCTAACTCCTGGGTACCTATTTACTGCTAGGTGAACAGAGGCATTAGGTGAGAGAAAACATGCCCAACCAATACTGGCCCGCCAGGGATTTGAACCCAGAATTCCTGATTATGAGTAAAGAATGAACCCAATTGTACCACCAGGGCTTTTTCCTATTCATTCCTCTCACCACAGGGCTCAGTATTAACACAGGCAAATGCTTTATCATCCAGTACTATAAATATTTTTTACTTTATTATTTTCTGCATTAGTTTGCTACTCAATGCCATCTACTGCCACATCTGCTATGCCCACCCTACACCACATGATAATTACTTAAGTATACAGGTAGTTAAAGGATAAGAGCTACGTTCGTGGTGTCCCCTCTTCCCAGTACTCTGTCGTATAATGCTTTGAAACGACCAACAGTCATGGCCTACACCACCACCTCACCTAACTTGTTCCAACCGTCTACTACTGTTTGCAAACGAAAACTTTCTAATATATTTTTGGCACCTTCGTTTTCTTAGCTTGAATCTGTCTCCTCTTGATCTTGAAGTTGCTGGGTTCAGGAATTCCTCTTTGTCAATTTGATAAATTCCTGTTAGTATTTTGTAAGTGGTAACCTCTTTTTCTTCTATCTTCTAGTTTTGGCATATCTTGAGGTTATCTTGAGATGATTTCGGGGCTTTTAGTGTCCCCGCGGCCCGGTCCTCGACCAGGCCTCCACCCCCAGGAAGCAGCCCGTGACAGCTGACTAACACCCAGGTACCTATTTTACTGCTAGGTAACAGGGGCATGGGGTGAAAGAAACTCTGCCCATTGTTTCTCGCCAGCGCCTGGGATCGAACCCGGGACCACAGGATCACAAGTCCAGCGTGTTGTCCGCTCGGCCGACCGGCATGTTTAACACCTTCAGTCCCTCCTCGTAACTCGTCTTTCAGTTCCGGAAATCATTTTGTAGCATGCCTGTGCATCTTTTCCAGTTTATATCTGTGCTTCTTGAGATATGGGCACCATACAACTGCTGCATATTCCAATTTTGGTCTCAAAAAAGAAGTGAACAGTTTTAGTACTGTATTTCAACATCCATGTAATTAAAAGTAAGTCTGAAGTTGAAAAGTGATGCATACAGGAGCAGATGTGGTGTCACATCTGCTCTGCTCACCATACCCTACAGTGCTTTGCCCACTATATGCTGTCTGCTGCCACACCTGCAATACCCACACTACATCACTTACTGCTATACTTGATCTGTCCACCCTTCACAATCTCATGTCACACTTGTTTTGTCCTACCATATGCCATCTCAAGTGTTAGTGTAAGATTGTATCACCAAGTTGTTTTCCCTTTTTTCCCTTTCCCTATAGGCCTAGGTTAGTTGGCTTTCCTAATAGTGCAGACCTTTTCTTAGCTTTCCACTATTTGTCTTCATTACCTTGCACCTGTTGAGACAACTCTTATAGGTTATCTTGAAATGATTTCGGGGCTAAGTGTCCCCGCGGCCCGGTCCTCGACCAGGCCTCCACCCCCAGGAAGCAGCCCATGACAGCTGACTAACTCCCAGGTACCTATTTACTGCTAGGTAACAGGGGCATCAGGGTAAACGAAACTGCTCATTGTTTCTCACCGGCGTCCGGGATCAAACCCGGACGCCGGGTTCGCCCGGCGTCCGGGATTCACCACAGGATCACACGCCCAGTGTTCTGTCTGCTCAGCCGGTGGCTGAGTAGACATAATATAAGAGATTTGTCTGTCCACTACTGGAGGCAAAGTGAAGGTGGAGAAAGTGGTGGTGGTGGAGAAAGTTGGTGGTGGAAAAATTATTGGTGTAAGACTGAAGAAGTGGAGGGTGAAGTTAGATAAGGTGGAGAAAAAATACAGATTTTTCAGTGTTGTCTAAACAAAAAATACGTTTCATTAACTAATTGTAGAGATATATTTAAAAGTTTCATATTAGTTTGATAATGTAAAATGCAAACAAAAAGTGTTCAAATAATTCGGTGTCAAATTAAATCCTGTGCAACCATTTGCTTAATGTTTTTCAAGCATCTTTTAAAGAACTACCTTTTCAGGAATATAAAATGTAGCTTTCTCCCAAGAATTGTGAGCTCTGCCCATCTCCCTCCCCTCCCTTTTTGTTATACTTAATTTTATCACATTTGAGCAAGGATTCTATCTACCAATAGGAGTATTTGTCAGGTTGGAGGTGGAAAAACAAGAAAGTTACTAATATGTAATAAAGAGCTAATCTATGAAACTTAACTGACCATTCTGCAGCTTAATCAACATGGCAATGGACTAGGCTATGATGGTATTGCTGCTAACATGTCAATCTTGAGGTTATCTTGAGATGATTTCGGGGCTTTAGCGTCCTTGACCAGGCCTCCTTTTTGTTACAACCCCCCCCCCCCCAGGAAGCAGCCCGTAGCAGCTGTCTAACTCCTAGGTACCTATTTACTGTTAGGTAACAGGGGCATCAGGGTGAAAGAAACATGTTGCAAATTTGTCTCTGCCTCCACCGGGGATTGAACCCGGAAATTAAGAACTACGAATCCGAAGCGCTGTCCACCCAGCTGTCAGGCGCTGGGTGGACAGCGTGTGCAGTGTAATAGTAGGAACAAGAAAACACACAAGACTACTTAACAGGCTTTGAATACTGCACTTTGTATGAGGCTTAGTCAATAACACACTTCACGTATGGCAATGGAAAGAGAGCAGAATAACATGACAGTCAAGAAGCTTGTACACAATTTGGTTATTACATAGTTGAAGGCTATTGATAGCTGATACAGATGACCTAAGCTCAGATGGAGGAATATTAACTAAGTCGGGAGGAAATTAGGTGAACTAATTGGGGCAACAGGTGCTATTTCTTCCAGATTTACAATGCAGATGAAATTGGTCATGACTAGAGGTGTACCAAGTATGACTTAGGTTAGTTGGCTACAAGAAGTAGAGATAAAAAACAAATTGCCATGCACAATTTCCATGCAGTTTAGCCTACTAAAATTAGCAAAATGAGAATTAGAAGTTCCTCAAATTAATAAATAATATCTTTTGCCAACAGCGGTAGAGAATTGTACAATAAGGTAATGTATATAAAAATCCCTGGTCACTTCAAAACTTTCTATGGCAGATTGCAGAACCATATTGTATAGGCAAGATGGAAAAATCATAAGAGTAGCCTTCATCCTGGAACTACAGTACAGTGCTTGGGGTTTTCTGGAACAAGCATATTGTGTTATTGGAACAAGTGTTGTCTTTTCACAGGAAAAATAGATTATCTTCATCTTTAACAGGTATTGGTGAAGGTTGAAAAGGCGTTGGTCTTGAAGTATCTACTGCAGCTTGGCAAGGGACACAGGCATTAAATAGAATTTATAGATGACACTACATTTACATACAGCAAAGGGAGAAATAGAATATTGTACACAAACCTAAACCAATTCGAAAATAATGTATTCTCTGGTTCAGAGCACTGTAATGTGAACAAAATAAAGTTACTCACCATATTCTATGAAATCTGACACAGTCTTCTCACGACGCAGTGAAGAGTTTGTGCACTCGTCAAAGAGAACCACGAGCACATCTAAGAGCGTTTCAACAGAGTAACTCTGGCCACTTGTTTCTGCTGGCCCAGATAGGAAGAGCTTTTCCAACTCCTGAAGCCGCTGTATTGCTTGGTTGGCATCTTGGATGTCAACAGTGCCCCCCTCTCCTCCTCCTCCTCCTACTTCGACGACATCTTGCCCGTCACCCATCATTGGCATGGGGGTTGTCTCTTCTTAATTAATATTGTCTTATCTTAACACGCAAATACGGAAGAACGAAATTTCACTTAAGGCGCCATCGAGCCGCACAGGGTTAGATGCTTTTACTATAATCAAGCAATCTTCATCATACAGAGTAATTGTAATTTTCATATCCTTATTCATTAAGCACCATGTGCATATCAATCATGTTGATAGGCAACACTGTCCCATTAATTTATTTTTTTGCCTTTGTTAGGCTGATTGACCCATACACATAACTGTGTAAAATAATTTAACCTTTTCATTTAATGAGCAAATTGAATTGATCAAGAAGGCACATCAAGTAACACTGCTCTTAGGGGCAACGGCTGAGGTTCCAATGAATCACGAGATCCCCATTGGAGAGCTGATGTTGAGATATAAACACAGTTTTCCCAAGGTAGAGCTGGGCTGTGGTGAACCACCTCTGAAATACATAAATATCTCTCATTAATTATAAATACAATTGTAAATACCTTATCTTACTAAAGTTACAACTCTATACAGTACTTTAGGAAGAATTTTTACCTGTACAAAACAGGCTAACAAATAAATACTAACTATGCGATCATAGTTGATATGGGGCAATCACCTGCCCGTGCCCTACATTATATGGATGCCATTGCAACTTGGTGACCTCAAAAGTTAACCTCACAACCCCTGCATTGCATATAGCATAGTGGGGAGAGAAGGGGATGGCTGTCATTACATATATCATAGTGGGGAGAGAATGGGATGGCTGTCATCTTATCAATGTTTCTCCCCATTGAAAGTACAAAATAGCCTCAGATCTTTGGTCCACATCTGCCAGGTCCCAGAAAGCAAACACAGGTTCATATGGCTTTGTAGAATGCAAGAGGAATAAATTGAAAACAGTAGTACAGTAGTTGGAAGTGAAGAAAGTTCAGTGTTAGGTTTATGCAAGAAAGATACAAGAAAATGGCAACAAAGAACGTAACGAAGAAAATTGTATAAGAATAAGAAGAAAAATGAGAAAAGGAATAAAGGAAGGAGTACACCTAGACATAAATAATAACATACGAGAAAAGGAGACATAATAACATGCTAGAAAAACCCACACTTTTGTATTTGTGAATTTTATGTAAAGATTTACACCAAGTGTGTGTATCTTCTGAGTGCTTTATCAAGGACTGAGTGTATGGTTAGAACAAGACTTGCATCTCATTGGCTTAATACCTGCTTGATTAATTTAATTCACTGTTGAGATGCAATTCTCATCCTAACCATATACTCAGACCTTGATAAAGCACTCAGAAGAGTGAGACACATGGTGTAAATCTTTAGATAAAATACACAAGTGTTGGTTTTTATTCTAAAATACCGTAATTGTACAGAGTGATCTGAATGACAGTGAAAAAATCCTGAGAATGACACTGGGTGGTAATGGTTGAACAAGGAAAAATTAATACTACACAGGCCTGGCCTTGGGCCAGGTCAAGTCTGGCCTCGGGCCGGGCTTGAGAAGCAGAAGAACCCATCAAGCAGGTATCAAGCAGGGAAGCCGTTATGACTTACTGTAACATTGAACAAAAAGAAATACTGTACATGGTACATGAAAAATGTACAAATAGTTTAATTAGCTATGTATTTGCTAAAGAAGCACAGTACAGTATATTGGTTAACATGATGCAAATGCTTTGAGTAGTTTAAGTTTTGTGAGAGGCAAAAGAGGGGTAAAATTAGGTGGAAAAAAGTGAAATAAAAAAGAAAATGAGGGATTATATTATATGGTGAAAAGATTAGAAGTAGTTGTGACAGTGCTTTGAAAGTTTTAACTAATGAGTGGAGATGATAAAACAAGCGTCTATTTTAACATGATTGGACTTAAAAAAAAAAAAAAAAAAAGTATATTTTCTAATAGACAATACAGTACTGTCCAAATAATTCAATGCCACATCATACTTATTTCCAAGACTAAATACAACCAATAAGCATAACCACAAAAGGATATATTAAAAAAATATTAAATTTCTAAGAATCTCCAAAATCTGAATTATTGTACAATATTTTCAACCAGGCCCACTTCAGATCTGCAAATACTGTACAATACAGGCAATCCAGATTTTCTGAATTCTATAAAATACAGTGCTGTACTTCCCATATTTTTAGGCAATTTATTGCACAATTGTTTAATTTTTTATTTCAAACTAAAAAAAAAAGTATTTTTTGAAACTACTGCATGCCTAAAGGGTTTCCTGCAGAAGCATCTCTCTTAATGATGCACCTATCTACATAAATGGTAAAGTTAAAAATACAATACAAGCAATGTTGTCACATTCAGACCCTAATTTTTCCCCATGCTCTATAGGCCCATTTTACTGGGCAAAATTTTAATTTAAATCTGTCATGATGGATATCTACAAGGAGAAAAGATTGTAAAAGATTTCTGTAAAAGATTTCCCCTCATCTGGTTAACAATTCATAATTAGTTTTGTTGGGGATAGGCAGCCTGTGTATATACAGTACAGTATATATTTGTTAGCTTTATATCAAAGTCCCCCCCCCCCACCCCCCAATGCCAAACTGCTGACCCTCCCTGGGATTCAATCCCACAACAGTTGACTAACTCTTGAATACCTTTTTATTCATAGGTGAACAGAGGCATTAGATGATAGGAAATATATTCAACCATTTCTCTCCTGCCCAAAATTCGAACCCAGGATTCCAGATTAGGTTAAGAACAAACCTAACTGTAATGTTGTCCCAGAATTAGCTATTTCTATGAAATCAGATGAAATTTGTTAAAACTCATGCTTATTGATGTTTTTCATGTTTAATGTGTGTTATAAATGTAAAAACATCATAATTATTTTATTTTTTTTCAGAACCCTAACCCTAATAATGAGTACACAAGACCACACCTTTGTTTTGATATCTGGTATCAAAGGATTGCGTTACAATGAAATATGAGAAAGATTTACAAGGAAATTTCACAGAATTGGTCCTACAAGCAAAGTAATTCGTGAACTTGTGAATAAACTTAAAAGAATTTGATACGTCTAAAATGTGTTTCGCAATGGTTAGATTTGAAATATGCAGGGATACAGATGGAGCACCTGTTGAAAGGTTTAAATAAAAATTTGACTAATGATATATAAATATCTGTTTTGAATCAAAATTAGGTAAAATCATGAAATTATGAAGTTTTTTAATAGATTTGTCCGAATTCATAGAAACATAACTAATTCTTGAGTTATCTTGAGATGATTTCGGGGCCTAGTGTCCCCACGGCCCAGTCCTCGACCAGGCCTTCACCCCCCCCCCAGGAAGCAGCCTGTAGCAGCTGTAACTCCCAGGTACCTATTTACTGCTAGGTAACAGGGGCATCAGGGTAAAAGAAATATTTTGCCCATCTGTCTCCACCTCCACCGGGGATCGAACCTGGAACCTCAGGACTACGAATCTGAAGAGCTGTCCACCCAGCTCTCAGGCATCCTTCTTTCTGGGACACACTTTACTATCAAGACCCAATCCAATGCTCCAGCTCTTAAATCTAATTTGTATATGTAGGGTCATTACCCCACAATGGTATAACTATACCAGGCCAAACTACTTTCCCATATTTAAAATCCTGGCTCAAGATTGTGAAATATCATTAGAACCCATTACAATTATTAATAAAGAGGATATGGCTTCAAAACCATTCTCAATATACTTTATGGAATTTCAACAGAGCCAAATTCAAGCCTTCAGTGAATAAAAGTTGCAGAAACTCGCCAATTCTAAAATGAACAATTTTACAATTTCTGTGCCTTACAATTCCTTCCAAAACAGGCCCCGTGATTTTCCCACCTTGAGGCCATTCCAAGGACCAATGTTCCTGCAGCAGGGTCTTGGACTAGGTCTCCTGGTTGAGACGGGTTGATCAGGCTGTTGGACACATGACACAGTCTGACATAGGAATACAGCCAAGTTGATTAAGTACCCTTTACAGAGCTTTATCAAATTCCCTTCTGAATGAGTATGACTAGTTATGCCCCTTGTATTTAGAGACAAGGTGTTGAAAAACCTTGGGAGCTGAATGTTTAAAGTATTGCCTCTAATGAGTAATTATTGCACCCTTTTGTGTGGGATCCAGTTAGAATACCATCATGCCTCCTGGTCTCTTGCAGAATGATTTTGGAGAACAGATTTTGAACTAATTCCTCTAATATTTTCCAGATGTAGACTCATTCCTGGAGACAAGGTATAATTTGACAAATCTTAGTTTTTAAATATTTTTTTATTAATCCTATAAAACCAATGCTTAATTAGATATGGTCAATTTTCAGATCGACTGTGAAACATCACTCAAAATTAAAACTAGCCATATAAACTTTTTTAAACCTGGCCATAAATTTTACTGTATTACAGTACAGTACTGTACTGTACTTTCCAGGCCGATACCTCGACCCCCCAAGAAAGTGGCAAGTTGCATAATGATAATGTAGCCAAAGTATGCACACAAAGAAAAATGATGAGTAGTATACAGTAATACTGTACAGTACTAAGATGCTAGTACACTTATCCCAAGTCGGCTGGGCTCACGGAGTAGAACTCCAGAGACCTTCTATAGGTAAACAGTAAATAAATACCCAGGAGTTAGGCAACTGTTGTGGGTTGCATCCTGGAAAAGGCCTGTAGTTGACCAAAGGAAACCTTGATAAATCTAAGTACGGTACAAGCTTCCTTTCAAAAGTACAACTTCTAATCAAATGTGAACAAAACACACACAAAAAAATCTCATACTGTACTTTGAATACAAATCTACCAATTCATAATAAAAGCATTGATTTTTCCTGTACACATGTAGATTGATGACCAAACCATATACCAGAAGATAATATTCACAAAAAGGTACAATGTGTTGGTGAATTTACATAAGATTGGTATTTTTTCATTCTTGCAAAGCCACTAACACGCATAGCATTTCATGCAGAAGATGAAGAGACAACGATGTTTGGGTCCTTCCTGTACCATTATTAAGTCGATTGTGATGGGAGCGAGGGAGGCACGGGCACTAAGTAAGACAAGAGTGAGGTGAGGAGCAGGTATGAGAAGAGGGTAATTCCAAGAAAGTAAGAGTAAGGCGAAACGTAAGAACAGGAAGGTACGAATGGATGTAATAATGGGGTGAAGGAAGAATATAGGTAGAAATAAGAGAAAGAAAAAGGGGGCAGACTTATGTCAAGTCATGCTTGCTAGGAAGGTTAGAGCATTCGAGTATGTACTGTACTGTAAAAGGGAAGAGTCAACAACAGTAACAGTCAGGACTAAGGTTCATAAACAGCTTTGTTGCTGTTGACCTCCTTTCACAGTGCACAGGGGGGTACTGCACTTATTGGGGGGTCGTGTAGGCATGGGAGGGGGGGAGGTCGTGTAGGCATGGGAGGGGGGGAGGTCGTGTAGGCATGGGAGGGGGGGAGG